ATATTTACCTGGGAATGCAATATTAGCAAAAGCATCTAGAAGTAGAGATCGTAATTTAATTAAATACTGTTCATACTTTGAACATCCGGTTTTGAGTTTTTCAGTGTTAGCCATTAAATTAATAATACCATTTTGCATATTTTCAATATGTTTATCTAAGACGGATACTTCTTGTCCTTGGTCTGTTACCTTTTTACGAAGGTTTCTAAGTTCACTGTCTCTACCTATAGAAATAACAATAACAATAAATAAATAACAATAAATAGGTAACATCAAACAAATACTAACCTTTATTGAAGTTTAAGAAATCATCTGAATATATAGGTATGTCATAAACTGTATTACTGTTATCACTAGCGGGTATAACTTTTTTAAATTCTTGATCCTTAACAGAATAAATTCATAGTTATWGAAATTAAGGGTTTTGAAGCAATAAAAAACTAAAGAAAAGCATTTAAAATAAAGCACCAAAATTCTGCAAATACGAAGAATCTACAAGACGAAAGATTGTCAAGRAATGACTGAACAGGTACTTGTATTAATAAATTGATATAAATTAAATCGAAAATAAGGAGATAAAATTGATGGGCCATGTCATTGGAACACATTATTTAATATAAAAATAAATATTAAATTTTTAAATATACTTAGTAGAACACATTAAAAAAGAGGAAAAAAAATGTCATACATTTGCTTCTAAGTAGTATAAATCAAATTTATAGCTGATATAACTTTGTTTTAGAGCTACAGAAAAAAGCAAATGTTTTGAAAATCCATACACTAGTTGTTAAAAATTAATTTGCAATTTTATTAATATCTTAGGAAGACGCCACATCCGCGTGTGTTATCTCCGTCTTACAAACACAAACATACAAAATAGCAAAAATTGTTTTGTGCAGGAAAACTTTACTCCCTATGTATTTCTTGCAGAATTACCAAAATTTCGCAAAGCATAGGGAAGAACTTTATCTATGTCGTACTGTTTTAATTATTTGGATAGCATGRTTACGATTTAAGTTATTAGTTTAAGAAAATTAAATTAATTATTTAAAATGATTGGTTAGTGCTACCAAAAAAATAAAAGCGCTAAGACACAGTCTAAGTTTTTCCCTATATGTTGTGGAATTTTGGTAATTCTGTATTAAATACAGAGCGAGTAAAGTTGTCTCACACAAAACAGTTTTTGATATATTGTACGTTTGTAAGATGGAGACAACACATGCGGGTGGATGTCCTCTTAAGAGGACACTACACCCGCATGTGTTGTCTCCGTCTTAAAAGTGCGTAACATAGCAAAATCTGTTTAGCTCGGGACAACTGTTCTCCCTCAATATTTATAGTAGAATTTTCAAAATTTCACAACACATAGGTAAGAACTTTATCTGTGTCATAGCGTCRTTATTTTTTTGATAGCACAAACCAATAATTTTAAGAAATTTAATGAAAAAATAAAAAATAAATGTTTTTCCTTAAGCTTATAACTTTAATTATATTTACGTTATCAAAAAAATAACGACGCTATGACACAGATAAAGTTCTTACCTATGCGTTGTGAAATTTTGAAAATTCTCTTATAAATATTGAGGGAGAACAGTTGTCCCACGCTAAACAGATTTTGCTATGTTATACGTTTGTAAGACGGAGACAACACATGCGGGTGTGGCGTCCTCTTAATCTGAAGTATGAATTATATTTTGCATGAAGGTAACTAACTTAATTCAAATCTCCGATATAAAAAAAAAAATATTACCTTTTT